AATTGATCTATTAACTAACCCTGCTTCTACGCATAAGTTCGCCTTAAGCATAACACGAGTGCCTTTTGCCAAAAAAATACACGCTTCAAGGCCTTTTGTGACATCTGAATCGGCTTTAGCTGCATCAGTACCTCTAGTATGAATAGCATTAATTCTAGCTATGAGGCAATTTAATGATCTTATCTTGTTAAGGTTAACTTCATTAACATCAATTTTTTTAGGCAAAATGCATGTTGCATCTAAGAATTGCCTACATTCTATTGGTAATAGAGTTGGTGAACCTTTAAATTAGGTAGAAAGTGCTCTCCAATCATCTACCATAGACTCGCCATCACGTAATCTTAACAAAATGCTTTTAAAACTGCGCTGTTCTGCTGAATCGCCAGATTGTCATTGTACAATGTCAAGTTTATAGACTTCCCAAAACTGTCTGTAAGCCGAAATACTATCATTTGATAATGGATCACGACTAAGTTGTTGTGAATACATAGGTTGATCAAGCACTGGTGGTAGTTGGCCAAAATCTTCAACCAGAATTACTAACCGTCTGCCAAATGGTTGATTTTGATGATCAGAAAAAGCCTGGCATAATTGCATGTCAATTAAAGCAAGCATGTGATATCCAACCATGCTTTCTCATCAATAATTATATAAATCACTCTATTCAGTCTTTTTTGTAGCTGTTTCAGACTCTCACCTTCCAAATCGAAGTTAGCTCTATTTATAGAAATAGCTAGTACCGAATAGATTATTATTCTATGAATATTGAATACTATAACTTCAGTTGATACAAGTACAATTACGGGAGAGTATTCAACACTGATGTTTTTTGCTATCTTTTGGAGTTTTTGCTGAATTGAATTAATTAGGTACAACTTGCCTGTTCCTGCAGTTCCCATAACAATAATTCTGATCAGCTCAATTGTGATATTTGTTACTATTTTATTATAATGCAACACAATTCTACTAAGTACCCTAATCTGCTTATTATTTAAGTTTGAATATTCTACAGAAGGAATGTTTAAATCCTCATTATTAATAGTATCTCTGCCTAATACTTGGTAGATAAATGTATCTACATCATCAAAATTAAGATTTGAATACTGTTGTCTAATATCTCCATTCCAGTCAAAATTTCGATCAGTATAATTTAAACCAAAATTAGAAGAACCAACTACAATTGTATTTGGATCCATCTCTGCTAGCATCATCCAGTCAGCCCTTATTTCATCTTCAAGCTTCTCTTCGATGGTATCTTGTTGCTCATCTTCAGGCACAAAATCTTTAACATTATTAACAGATAAACTAAGCAAATCAGTAAGTTCATTTTCTATTTCTACAAGATTTCTGTTAAAGAGTTTTGACCATATGATAGTATTATTTTCAGTTAGCTACTCAAGGCTATGGTAACAAATATGCAGTAAAACTTTTACTCGACAGAACTCTTCTCAATTAGGTCCGTTTCATTGAGGTGATGGTCTTGGCCAAATACGCATAATATTTTCACGTTCACATTTCTTCCATTCGCTATTATAATACTTGTATCCCATGTAAAGCTGAACAGAGTGAGATTCTCAAGCTCTATAGAACGGTCTCAATATTTCTGCAATGGCGATTGTTCAGTTTGTCCAACTTCGCTTGTATCAAAATTCTCATTTCTACTACCACGCAGCCATCGTGGCGCTATTGTGTTAAAATTTAAGATAACAAATTGGCGACTAAAATAATAAAGAGGAATGCTGAGGAGGAGATGACATGTTTCTTGTGTAGATATGTCATGTTCTGCAACAGTATAGAGCAATAATTGCTGAAAAACACCAAGAGCTAGTTCAGACGGTGTATTTTCACAAAGTATATTATTTAAAATTTCTAAATAAGTTGCAGAATGTGGTTCAGATTTACTTGCATATTTAGCTATATACTGTAATGCAGCATGAATATTTAAAATAGGTTTCAAATTAACGTTCACATGCTAATCTTGTAGTTGAAGATGATTATGAGGATTAATATAAGGATCATTTCTCGCCGTGATGAGCTCTGGTTGACCATTGTTGTTCTGTATAAAGATATGATCAACACTATCTTTAGGATATCCAAATTGACAATGCTGCTAACCCTCTTTATTTATGCGAAGACAGTATGAAGGACTACAGCATGTATGATATTGTAGTTTGTTAATGAGCTCTATATAGTCTTGAAGGTCATCGCATATTTCATCATTATTTTTTTGGCAAGGGTGATGATCAGGTATAAGTAAGTTGATTCCTAGATTAACCATGGTAACTAAAGAGTTAAAATGTTGAATTATTCTAGCTATTTCCCTTTCATTCTCTTTAATTCTTTCAAAATCAAATATAGGTGAATCACTTATTTTTTTGATACCGTGCATGTGAACACTGCCGCAATGCTGCCATTCAAATCTATACTACCAATCCTCCAAATTCCACTTAGGGATCAAGACCTTTTCAAGGAATGCTTTGAAATGCTTTTCAAAAAACTAGACAGCAATGTGAGGATTATCTATTAAATCCTGGCATCGATGTTTATTTGTCTCTTGCTCTATTTCACCTTTGGTTAGGTTCTCACTATGTGGCATGAGCTTATGAAGCTCTGGCTAGTGCAAATTGGCAGCACTAAAGATAAAGAATATCATTTTATCTGGCTTTAACTGTTTGATCATATCTGACAATTCACTATGTCTTCTTTTCCAAAACTGCCATATTCTACGCAAATTTTTACTGAAATGTATAACCTGGTCAGCAAAATGTTCATTACTAGTAGCTAGCTCTTAAACATCTTTAACATTAAGCTGCATACTGTTTTGCCTTTGCTTAATATAGACTCTACTTTTTTGCAAAGCTTTCCACCTCATTTGGGAGTTTAAAGCAAAGTATCACTATCTGGAATGATGTGCAAATCTACTATTCTTGTACTTAAGCAAGTGTTAGAAATACTCAGCTGGCTTTATTTCTTTGACATACTCTGCGCAAAGGTCAGCATTACTAGTCGGATATAGAGTTGGAAAAGTACAAGCTATATATCCTGGTGTATTAAATTTATTTATAGGAGTCCCTTCTATTTTCGGCCATATAATTGGATTATTTTTGGCCTGCATTCGATTAAGGATATTGTTAATAGCACTTTGTTTATTAAGAGATGAAGCAGGTGCAGGGACGAAGTTACGTATAATAACATTATCAGTATAGTCATCTGAAATATCATTCTTAATGTCTTGAAACTCAACCTCTGTATCCTGTAAGTCATCATTTTCATTTTGCAGTTGTG